AGCAAATATCAAAGAGTTATGTTTAAATTTTAACAGACTCGCGGTTGGAAAGAGGCCCGGAACATTATCCACTTTTCCGCAACACTGTAACTTGAACAAGCTCAAGAACTGAATAATCCCTCTTGAGAATAAGTTCTTGAATTTGATACAGTCTAAAGAGGGAATTCAGGCACAAGATTGCCAGGTCAAAGAAGAGTCAGTTTGAAGTTTACGGTTCGATGCAGTTGCAGTAGTAAACGAATCCAACCAAAATGATCGGCTGGTAATAATGGTTGTTGGTGAGAAATGGGAGCTAGAATGGGTCCCAAAAGCGACTCGTTGCAATGGGGGCCAACATAGATCAAGAGGATGGACAGATGAAACAATATTGCACAGGACAATCTTCCTGACTGAGGTCCAAGACCCACAACGAATAGGGAAGACATACAGGCGAACCATGCTTTGATACCATGGTATACGAGTATCCAGCAATACTCAACAAAAAGCAACAAGGAAGAACTCGAAAAAAGGGACCATCCCAAAGGAACAAATCAAAATGTAGACAAACTTATTATGAATAAAAATGAAAAATACTACTAATTCAATACTAAGATTACAATATTAATTCAAAAGCGGAATCTTGATGGTACTTGAAAAGGTATTGAAAAACGCTCGCTTTAGTATAATGTGCAGTACAAATTACTTACTTTAAGTGATTGTCGTCTTGTAACATAGTTATCAGAGTTGAGCAGTTTCTGGTACTCGGTGAAAAAACGGTCGTAATTTGCGTCCAAGAATTCAGCACACAACGTCTTATGTCGTGTGATCAAATCCTAAAATTGATGTATTTTATAAACAATTTTTCATGGAGTATGGTTGCTATAATAACATTAGAATTTCATGTACTCAGATTCAATTCCGCGAGCACGTCACGGAGAGTTCAATGCATGCAGGCACCGTCGAAAAGCCATTCGCCTTTACAGCACGTGAAATGCACGCAATAAAATGAGAACAAAATGGCAACGAGACCAGTTTACCAAAAAGATATGTGAAAATGTTAGTAAATAGTAGGGTCTGGAAGAGAAAATAAATGAAAAATAAGTTAAAGACATTTGAATAGTCTCAAAAAACGTTCAACGTTAGCAGCATTCCATTTGGCTTCGCGGAGCGCGGCGAAAAACAGCGATCAAAAGAAAAAATATTGAATCAAATCAAGCGACATCAAAAGCATACAGTTGCCAACTTCAGCTGAACATAGTACTATGTTGTTATACGTGTGAGTACTGGGGATTTACGACTGAAAAGCTCCTACGAAGCTAAGGACAAATGAAGACGCGGTCGTGCATGGAAAAGAGCGCGACACCCATAAAACGCAAGTAAGTTTTCAGTCCGGAAGCCGATATTTTGAGCATAACTCAGGAGCCCTGGGATGAGCTCCACTATTAGTTTACCATTCCAAACCTGAGAAAACGTTATTTCGAGACTGTTTTTGGTTAGAGGCACTGAAACCTCTTAACATGAACACAAAAGGAGATGAATCGGAGACGTAAATATTACCCCAAATTCTATAGCGTCACAGAACCCATACCTACCAAAGCCTGCCCTACTATTGTTTTTTCAATAGCAGCACGCTTGCTCATAAATGGCACCTTCCAATGGGACAGAAAAAAAGGAACAAGAATGAAGCCACATGTCGCAGACTTTCGAAAGTTCTATTCCACAAGAACCCTCCCTTTTAATATGTGTTCATTGCGAATGAATTTCCCCTTGAGTGACATCAAAATCGATTGCAACTTAATACTAGAACCGTATCAATATTGTTAAAAATCAAACACAATATGCATCCACGAGTCGGATCAGGTTACTCAAAGCCCAACAGAATAATACCGAGTTTTATAACAAACCTATATCATACCCCTCATATAGTGGAAAGAAACTTCTACAAACACACCTTAAACGTCGCGAAGGCATCTGAAGCAATGTCGAAAGCGGATAACTCGACATACGTGAAGAATTTGTAGAAGGATTCATGCTGTAGCAAAATCTAAAACAAAATTCCTTCAAGCTCATGAAACTAAAGCAACTCGAGAAGGTGTATGGGAGACCTTGGCTAACTGATCATGACGAATACATTCACGTAACATGTGGCCACATGTCACAGCAATGTCACCATTTTGATAGCTAAATAACACCATAACTGCAGTAAATAAACAGTGTAACATTTTTAGCGAACGTCAGAAAACTACACTGTTATGGGAATTCGAAGAAAAACTTACCCATTGACGAGAAGAACTAGCATTTCGGGACGGGCACCTAGGTATTCTACAGTGGGTGAACGAGTTCCAATCTGTCTTCGAAGAAGATTGTTGAAAATTTGTGCAACATCCTGAAAACGCTTCGATGAATTGTAATAGGAAAATGAATAGTAAACAATAAAGTTTACCTTTTTACTTTCAAAATCCAACTTGGCCAAGTTTTTTATTAGCATCGGTAGCACATTAGCGTTATACGTTTCCTGAGCGAGCTGTGCAACCTAAAGTCAAGGTAAATTACATTAACAACATAAGCGCCTTTACATTAAAAGGTAGAAAATTATAGAGCATTTCATAGCGAATGATCTCAAATCGATGAATACCTGCTCGCTATGAGGATCCTGCGTTTCAGACCCGTAAATAATACTTTTAACCATCTGCAACCATTTGTTCACCTCTTCAACGGCTTTGTCGCCCTTTTTATCGCCTTGAGTCTGAAAAGTGTCTGTTCACAGAAAGTAATCACCTTCATTGAAATCACCTCACAATACAACTCTACACAATTAAAACCACTTTGAATAAGCGGAGGAGAATGTCGTACACGCCATCCTCTGGTACCAAGGACGGTTTTGGGTCTTCACAATCAACTTATAAGTTTTGGAAGCTTGTTTATTGTATGCATTTATTACATCAAAAAGATAATTAGTCAGCATTCAAGCCCTGTCGACACACTAACCAATCGATTCATAAGTCAAGTCATCGATTTACCACAGTAGTACAATGAAATAATGAAGTGGTAAACGAACTACGGGCTATACGTGAGTCTAACCCATTTGGCAGGGATTTCATGAGCTGGGGTGTGGCTTGGCCCGCATCGAATCAGAGCGAGATTGGAAATCGTAAACTTCGATGGACATCCAATTAACTTTTACTGTGTCTAACATATTGTGCAGATTTATGAGAATATCATCATTCTTTTATTTGTACTGTCCGGCCCTTTCCCAGATGGCCAGCCCAGAAAATTCTGGAATCTTGTATTGTACTGTCGGCCCTTTCCCAGATGGTCAGCCCAGAAAATTCTGGAATCTTGTAAAGGACCACAATAATTAACACAGTTTCGATGATCAAAAATACATAAGAGGTTGTATAAAATCAAACCAAAATATCAGATGAATAAAGAAATTTCGCAAAAAAAACTACAATAACGTCACCTTCTCGACAGCAACAAGAGCCTCTTTCAGATTTTTCACCACATCGGCTGGAGACTTGTGTGATTTACCGAATATGGGAAGAGGCATACCTTTGAAAAAACGAAGAATCTGTTTCAATCACATCAAAACTTTTCAAAACAAAAAGAAATGCGAACATCAATACGAGCACGCTGAGGAGACTCCCAAAGAAATTGCACCCTGGGCTTCTACTCAATTGAGTAAACCGATCGGAAGGCATTCTATCTTACAGTTCGATTGAAGTAAAGCACATCGTAAGAATCAGTAAAACAGATGGAAAGAGTGAAACAGTATTGAGTTATAATTGCTAATAATGAAAAAGAATTGATGAGTGCCTTGAAAACCCCTTCAGAACAAAATTAACCGTTAAGCATAGCCAAAATGAGCTTCCACTTTACGACCACCCGTATAAAATCATAAAAGTGTGAAAAGACATCAATAAATTCGACAAATCGATCGGTATACGAAGTGCAACGAGCGGACGAAATCGGCCAACGCTATGATTATACATATAGGATGCGCCACGATCAGAAATGGCAAATCAAAGTCGAACGGTACCCACACACCCATACAGAAGACAGAAATAGTCTTTGATACTGAATTAACTAAGTACTAAACAAATCTTACTGCTAAATGGTCCATTAAACGTTGCTCGTAAAAGCACACTTATGAGCATTCTGTTTGCCTCAAGAAACCTTCTCAAGTTCAATAACTTCTTCCATCAAAAGTAGAAGTATATTTTAAGCCTAGTTCTCAAATACGGAACAATTTCAATCGCATTTTATAGAAATATATGGTCGTAACTTCTTTTTGTCAACAGAAATTTGCTACGACGACTGTCACAAAGAACGAAGATGAGCGCCTTTCGTTTGTCGTTTCGACATGTCGAGCAGCGTAGTAAAAAATGTGAATTAAAGTAAAATTTTATATGTAACCTACCTAAAAGACGAATAAAACAGTATTTATGTTAATGACGATTCCAAAAAAAATTGACGGTAGACCTTATAACATTAACATTGAGCAAAATTACATAGAAATATTACGAATTTGAAGCGGATGCGATGTCGAGTTTCGCAATTCCATGAGCGTCCCCCTTCGGAATGACCACTTCGTGTTGAAGTTTTCTGGGCTATAGAATCATTGCAATTTGCATTATAAAGGTAGAAGCTGGGAATGTGCTGTCCCATTCATAGTATCGGGGAACAACCTTGCATTTACTCGCCAAAAAAGTAATAGTAATCCCAAGATCACTAGTGAAACTACTCAAAATTTAAATTTTTTAAATTTAAAGTTCCAGACAAATTGCGGGAAGGAGTGAATTTCTGCTCAATAAATCAACTACGCCTATTAAATTTGGTTGACATTTTCAGCACGTATCGAATTTGAGAGCTTCGAACATTATTGGAACCCAACTTTTTGTAAAACTGATACAGTTGAATTACAAAAAGTTAACGTGAAATTTGATCGCGACCGACCAAATGTTACATGAAAAGAAGAGGACGGTAGTTCTTTGTTTCCGCGTCCTTACATGTGCGATTGGCCGTTTCGTGACCGCGCGCCTAATCGTCACGTGTTCTGCACGTGTTGAGGGGGACACATTACGAATTCATCAAAGAAATAGTATTAGTTGATCCCGGGAGAGTATACCTGAGGAAAGTTTCGTGTCTCTTTGGTGGAACAGTTCAAAATGGGTGTGCAGGGGGATTGTTTTGCATATCGATCGATTCCAATAACGAATAGTGAATAGGGCGATGACCTTTCAAACTCGGGCTCCATTTTGTCATGTTCATGTTGTTTCCCTCGAAAACAAAATGTGGATATACATAGTGGTGGACTGGTTAATAACGTTGAATTCCATCATTTTGTAAAAAACAATTAATTTTGAAACATTCAAAAGTGAGTAGCTGACTTTAGGGAAGGAGCATATTTAGATGTTCAGAAGTTGTCCACCTCTCAGCAGTAGGGTTCAGAATTTATGGGAGCGGAGTTTCCTACCGGAACAGCGTGCCGCACTTGCAGCATCTGACCGTGCGCAGTCGCGCGCCATGAAGGAGATTTGAATTCCCAGTGGGAAGTTACGGTAGTTGCCGCGAAATCACTGCCAGTTGCCTTGCGGAATAGGTTCCCCCGAAAATTGTAAGTCGGTAAACTGAATGACGGGTTATTTTCTTGGAAAACGCCCGAAAAGTAAAAAAGATTCGTTAAGTAGTAGCTCATCATCAATGTTTATAATGTATGGAACCATTGAAATATATGTTGAATCGGAATAGTACATACATACACCATTGATTTTACTACAGTATCGCAAAATATACCAGTTACAAAAGCAAATTTCAGCAGTAGTAAAGGATACTATTTAGTTAAACTTATTAGAAATCACCAGTAGACGCTAGCAGTACATAACGTCCGGGCACCTCGTGGCACTTCGTGAACTTGTAAAAAACGACGTAAAAAGAAAGATGACATTAGCGATAAAGTCGATG